GGGGGGGGGGGGGAGCAAAACCTATGGATCCTTCTTCTAGGAAGGACCTCATGAAAGGACTCGCTACCAGGGTAGTGTGTAAGGTGGATGTAGCGCCTCTGAAAAAAAAGGCATAAACGAAATACCAAAAGCGAAAATAGAAGACGAATTTTTGAAGCTTTCGGAACACGATGGATCTTTGGTCTTATAGTGTAAAACACGGTGAGGACGATGGCGAACAAAAGGCAAACGCGAGTTTGTTCGCTTTTTGCTGTAGAATATATATATGTTGAGAATCGAAGGCCTTTTCGAAATCTTATAGTTTTTGGACTTGTTAGCCGGCAGGTAGTATCGACCAATCTTCCTTAGGGATCGTTAGGTAACATTTTCTGGCTTTCTTATGCTTATTCCACTTCTTCTTCTTCTTCCATTTACTTGTCTTCTCCTTTCTTCTTTAACACGACCGACGCTGGATCGAATCCCGACAGTTACTTTTTTTTTTTTTTTTTCTAAACTTGGACAATGCTCTTTGCAGGTATTGGGACCTACAAAAAAACTTATGGTCGTAACAATTTTATTTTTATGTCTTTATTCGGCAATTAGGTGTTTTTTCGGACATGTCTTTTATAGGACTGCTTGGTTTTTCAGTATAGCATCACAGTATTGTATACTGGACCAACGGGTCAGTATCCATATACGTCACAGACCTCCCAAAAGGCATTTTTTTTTTTTGGAAATCTGATATATTTCTTTTTTGGCTATTATTTTGTCGTTTAATATTTATTTTTTACTGAATTCAAGTGGCTATCACATTTTCGATGGTAAGATTATTTTTCATCGTGGATTTTCGGGGTTGAAGAATTTTTTTTTTTTGAAATCTCTCAAATCTCAAAATGAACAAAGAAACGTCGAAGGGTGAATCTCGGACAATAATGGCGTCAAAAGATAAGACTCTCTCATTCTCACTTTTTCCAACCCTTCTTCAGTCTCTCGACACATTTCTCGTTTTCTTTCATGACCTCCGACATTTTTCTAACCCCCCCCCCCCCCGTCCCTCCTTTTTTTATCCTTCACCCGCTCACCACCATCAGTTTCTCCGGACGATTTTACTTGGAGAATTCGAAGGTAGCTTCGTTGTCTCCCGCAGAGGGTTGTTCCCCTGTATTTTCCATACCGTAGCATTCCGCCCTTTTGCTCCCTTGGGTGAAATGTACATTTCACTACGGGGGATGTTTTCCTCTCGTACCCCCATTATTCCCATTGTCACAATTACCTTCATTGTCGCGATAATCTTCGCATTGTCGACCGCAGGGCTGAAAGGCTTGTTTCCAACGAAAGCGTGCGACAAGATTCACCTTGGAGACGAGCATTAAAGATTTTACACGAGTAAACCAGCCTTATAATGTAAAACGAAGTGCGAAGAGGGATGAAGAGTTTAGTTCTTCACATTCGTTACAATTTTCTTTTTTAATTCGATAATTCAAATTTATTCGTGATTCATAGAAATTGGTAAAAAATAATCATATATTTTAATTTTTTTTCGAAATTTTCTAAAATTACGTGAAAAACAATGCTAGTAGTTTAAATCGCACTGTGACCTTCTTTTTTTCGTTATATCTAATTTTTTGAGAATTCACGTGGCTGCGATCTTTCTTACTGCACTTCCTGTTCCTTTAATGATTTTATCCTACCGGATGTCACCGCCGATGCCTTCTTCACTGTGTACCCACCTTTATCCTTTCTCGCATTCAAAACGCTGACTCGGAAGTCAAAGACGACGAACGATCCTAAAGCCCCAAGACGTTTCAATTATTTGACTTCGTCCTTATATTGTCCTTCCGAAAGGACCAAGATCCTTAGTATGCCATACTAGGTGGTCCTGGCAAATTGTACGACTGTCGATTAAATATCGATCATTTCCAAGGACCTACCTCCGTTGGCAAGGACCTCCCACGATTTTGGTAAAAAAAAAGTGCCTTATCCCGAAAAGTGAAAACTGTATATTTTCCAAAAATTCGTCGTCTCAATTATCTTAAATTTACTCAAAAAAAAAAAATCAGAAAAAGTCAAAAACCCTCATGCGGTCAAGTGCACAAATACAGCCTCTCACAAGATCAATAGCAGGCGACCGTATAAGTAAGCCCAAGTGAAGTATCAAAGCGCAAGGAAAAGCATCCCCCAAGAAAATACTCTCCTGAATGTACCACAAGTATAATAACGAAGAAAAGGCGTGGGTACGGCCGATAGTTATTTTGACGTCTTTCCCACGTGTGAGACGGCGCATAAACACTCGCCGTGTCTAAACATCCTAAACGTTTATACGTGTACCGAGGGCGTAATTCGAAATAAGGGTGGCAGTTTGTAAAAGGGCGTAGATCCCTCGCGAAAAGCCGTAAACGAGACGAAGGCAGTAAGAGGAGAGAATAAAAAGTCCCTTTTTTCTTCCACGTGACCAAGTCCAGCGTAAGGGGCCTTGTTCTCGGTGTATACATCCCTGCACTCCGTACCAGTGGATAGCGGTACCCGCAGTGCGCGTGGGTGTATTCATTGAGAAAGTTTTGAAGGTTTTTGGCCCTTGAAGATTCTTGCTCGTTCGGCCCTTGAAAAAAAATGTCTGCACGTAGTAGTATAAATAGTAATAGGGTTCCTACCCCTAAACTCCACGTTCGCTCATTCATCCGTTCATTCATCGTATTTCTGTGAATGCGCAGTTTTTTCCCTTCTCTCTGTCCCTTGCGGGTATTCGCGTATCTTAATCCTCGCGACGGGAAATGGACGCGTTAAGCTTGCTTCGTGGAAGGGCCACCGTCCCTTTGAGGACGTCCGGCGTCGTCGCGCCGGTTGAACTTATATCCCATAGGAACGAGAAGAAAGGACGGACGTAACGAAACTCGCGGTTTCGCGTCGCTCTCGTGAGAATGGGAGCTTGTTCTTGTTTTTTTTCATCCGCCGTAATTCGTTTCATGCGAAACAGCCTTTCCTTTGTCGGTGGTTCGGGCGACAATTAATGCCACTTGTTAGCGTTCGACATATCGAGTAAGACACCTCGGTGAATGGGGATCCCGTGTTAAGCGGGGGACTCATTTTTCACTGAGATTCATGTAAGAACGAAGGCACCTGGTTCCTCGGGTTTTCTGGGATCGTACAGGGGCCTTCTTGGCTTTACTCTATGGAAATTCCTAACCTGTATGCATCGAATTCTCGTTCGTAAGTAGTCACCCGATTTATACTAGTTGCTGGGATATCCAGGGGTCTTCCGGCATGCCGCGTTCATTTCGAGCTTACCGCGTAGGTCTTTTCTTGCTGTATACATTTACATTGGTATATGGTTATTGCTAGTCGTTGCTGGGCGGAAGGGTTGACCGCCGTGTAATGGCGTCTTTCTCTTTCCTTCCCTCTCTCCTTGTTTATCTCTCTCCCTCTCTCTTGCTGCCTCGCGTATTACCACCAAGCACGATTTCTCTCTGTAGAGGACGCCGCGGTCCATTGCTCTCCCTTTTCCTCCTCCTCGTCTCCTCCTACTCATTGTTTGGCTTTGGCATCCGCCAGATATTCATAATGAATAGTATACCTATAACCAACCGAGGCGTGAGCTACTATTTTTTCTTTCCTTTCTATGCATGATGTGTTCTGTGACGTTATCTTTTGTTTTTTTTTTTTCTTTCTTTATCCTCTCCCCTACGCTTTACGCGTTATCACGAGAGCATAGAAAATTTCATGGGAGATTGAAAAATTATAAAATTTCAAAATCGAAAGAAAACTGTACTTTGAATGATTTATGATTTTTGAAAATTCTTTTTTTACCCGCGTTTATATACATATATATATATATTTTTTTTTTTTCAAAAATTATCCACTCACCGATACATCATTTGGTGCTCTAACGTGTTTATAT